TGGGTTTTTTAATAGTATCCTGTAGATTCCCAACAATATTTTTTAGATTTCTAATTTCCTCTTCTTTTCTTTGGTTTGACTGTATCCTTTCCTGTTCTCTGTCTTCTAAGTCCGATATTCTCTCTTCTACTTCACCTGTTCTGTTTTTAAGGCTCTCTAATGTGTTTGTCATTTGATCTATTGAATTCTTCATTTCATTATGATTTCTCGTCACTATCACAGTTTCATGTTCTACTAGTTGTTTCATTTCATTTTGATTCCTCCTTAATATTTCATTTTCATGACAGAGATTTTCTATCTGTCCATTAAGGATTTCTGTAGTTCAAGAATTTGTTTTTGAGAACTTCTTAATGTTCTTATCAATTTTTTGAGATTCGCTTCTTGCATTTCTTCTATCTCATCATCTTCATAATCTTGAATTGGGGTGTCTTTTTCATTTGGGGTCGTCATAGTGTTTTCCTTGTTCTTATTACCTCAGTTTTTGCGTTTGTTGTTTGGCATATTGGAGATATTCTTTGGTTTCTTCACTGTGGTGTTTTTTCTTGTTATACTATGACTCTAGATGAAGTGGACTGTCTGTTTTTGATGGAGCCTTAGAGGCTTGAGATGGGTGTGGCCTGAGAGCTCTGTTTGGTTCCTCAGGGTTAAGGGTGTGCCAAAGGTGACACTCCCAGGTTAGGTGTGGTAAATCTCTCTCTCTTTCTTTTTTTTTTTTTTTTTGATTCAAAAGGGAAGTAATTCCGCACAGCTGAATGGAATTGGAGGTAGTTAGCAGGCAAATGATATACCCACAGGAGCCAGAGATCAGAAGCTCTTTCCCAAGGACCACACAGGGAATCTGTCCTGCCCTCAGTGTGGGCTCAAATTCTCCTGCAGTCTCCCACTGGATTGCCAAGGTTACTGAATTGTAGTGTCTCTGGAGAGTACTCACGTGAATTCCATGAGTTCTCTCCCCCACCGTCTCTTTTTTTCACAGTCTCAGTTCCGTAGCACCACACATTCACTAGGTCCTAATCTCCTGTTAATTCACCCCCCACCCCCAGAGTTAGGTTTTTCTGCTAGGCTCAGGGCCGGTGCAGACCTGAAGTTGCCCTGCTTATGACGTATGTCCAAGATGGTGCCTGCTCTTTGTCTTGCTCGCCTTTGAGAGGTGAGCGGAGAGAGAGAAAAACCCGTGTCCGTACCAGTCACTTTTTCTCTCTCTCTCTCTCTCTCTCTCTCTCTGTCTTCTAGTTAGCCTGGTGAACTTTTCCCCCCGGGGTCGTTCCCTCTAGTCTCCTCTTTCCGCTTGCCTGCCGGTGTCTCGGGCTATTGAGGTTCGGCTCACCTCGCGTTCCAGCGCTGGTGTGTTGAGTCTGCCGCTGGTGTCCCAAACTGTGGGCTCCCACGCTCTCCACGCAGGTCCACTGTGAATCACTAGTTCTGGAAGAGTTTCTTCTGCTGTTTCTTCCCCTACTCTTCCTTGAACCTGCAGTATCTCCACTTCTATTAAACTGTCTCTCCCTGGACTATCAGTGTGCTCCCTTCCTATTCCGCCATCTTGCCTGTCCCCGCAATGAACATTTTGTAAGAGACCCTACCTCAGGTGTATTTGTACAAACAGCACAGGAAGACACTAGCCTCGCACAGACAGCAGTCTAGGGGTCACACCAGTCCTTCAGTCCATGCCTTAGCAGACAGAAGCAGTTACTATGGAAGCTTCATGGGGGCCTCAGCATGGTTGGGAGCAGGAGCCTAAACATGAGCCTGAGCCTGAGCTTCAGCCAGAGTCGAAACTGCAACTGTAGGTACAACCTGGGCCCAGGAATGTGGGCTTCATTTGGTTGTGGGGTTTGGCTTTGGTTTTAGCCTGGGCCTTGACCTTATTTGAGCCTGGTACTAGGCCTTGATTTGAACTTTGCCTTGCTCTTCACTTTGATTTGAGCCTTAGCCTTGGACTTTGGCTGGTACAAGTCTAAGACCTTGGTAATGGGGGCATGAGTAAACTCTCCACATTTACAGTTGGCAATAGAGGCAAACTGATTGAGCTTGCAGCTGACACCCTTTGGGATTGAAGGCTTAACTTCTTTGTGCTTTACATGGGCCCTCAGATCCTTAGCACATGTACTTACAGCTTTGGCACAATTGGCCTGCATCTTCTTCAGGCCCTTGATGCTGTGCTTCCTGGCAAAATACATGCTCCTTGGGAATTTGGGGCCCACCCTCTTAAGAGTTCCATAGCTTTTTGATCAGGGTCTCTTGATGCTGTTATTAGGACTGGTTGTGTGTGGTATGCCTCTTGGACTTGGCCACTTCTGTACCATAACCCAAGGCTCCCAAAATACCTAGGACTAGAAGAAGCAACTTTTTCTCTTTAAGATTTATTTATTTATTCATTTATTTATTCATTTATTTATTCGAAGGAAGAGCAACATCAAGAGAGGGAGAGGCAGAGCTATATCTTCTATCCACTGGCTCACTCCCCATATAGACACAATAACTAGAGCCGGGCCAGGTTAAAACACTTTCACAAATATTCTGTCATTTAACTTTCATAATGCCATACACATCAGACAGTATCATTGTTCTATACGTGAGGGAAAAGGCTGAGAAAGACTACCTAAGGTTCCCGATAGTCCACAGCTAATAAATGACAGGGTAGGAACGAAGTCTCAGGGTGTCTGACTCTGGATCCAGTGTCTCTGCAAAGATAAATTTTTAAACACAGAAATTAAACAAATCTCTTTCCCATCCCCACCCTCCCCAACATGGATATGAAAAGACACTCATAAAAATCAAGAAACATTTTCTACAAACAAATTCTCACCTGTAACCCAGTGTGTAAATTAGAATAAAGGAAGGCTGTTCTGATGACAGCTAAATGGGAAGTTCAAAACCTGCCCTGTCCCACCTCAGACTCTCAACCCTGGTACCTGCAGCACCTTCTGCTCCACAGAGTACAGTTGGGAAATCACTAGGAAATGCCATGTCCTCAAACTGTGATCGTCTCTAAAAATAACTTTAGAAATAAGGCTAGCCTGTGTCTTGCCTTTATAATTCTACATTTTTATGGGAGATTATTCATCCACATTATTTAATGACCTTCTTTATGGGACAGAATTGCTTTAAAATTTGAAGTCATCTTTGAATTTATTTAATTCAAATCTCTATTGCACAGATGAAGAAACAGTAACCTGAGAGAAGTTACTCAACAAGGATCATTCCGTAGAGGAACAAAGCCAAGGGCCCAGACCTGGACCCTCCTGGGCAGGTAAATTCTTCTGATTATATCACAAAGTCTTGCTTTTTAGAAAACCGACTCTTTGGATTGCAAGATGACATCTTTAACAAGGTGAAGCTCTTACTTGTCTCTTATGCACCCAAAAAAAACAGGCATTATATACTGGCTACACATGGCAGTTAAGATGATACAAAGTATAAAATGTGGCTATTGGCTGTAGTAATCAGACCTGGAAACAGTGGTTCTTAGGTTATAGACATCAAAGTCTCCTTTGAAATGTGTGCAGAGACTGCTTATTCATGAAAACGTGCATACTCTGCAAGCAGCTCAGAGATGTCATTCTCCCCTCTTCCTCCAAATCCTTAGCTGTCCAGTTGAGAACCCCTGGCCTAGAAGCAGTCAACTGCAGTGCAAGTGCCAAAGTCAGAACTGCATAGCCTAGCTACTCTCTTATTTATGTGTTTGTTGCTTAAAGTCTGCTTCTGTTACAACATCCTTCATCTTTTATTCAAATGGAACAGCATCTTATCCTAGGAGATATGTGGTAAAAGAGAGCACTATATGTTTTAACACGCATTTAACTAACCAGGTGACAAATTAAGAGAAAAATATGGTAAAATGGAAACATTGTCTGCCAAACATTTTAACAATGAAAGTAAGGGTTCTCAATGTTCACAATCTGACATTTGTTTCCTTTCTAGTTCTTTTATTTTTAGAAAGAGAAAGAGAGAGAGAGAAAGGAAGGAAGGAAGGAAGGAAGGAAGGAAGGAAGGAAGGAAGGAAGGAAGGAAGGAAGGAAGAAAGAAAGAAAGAAAGAAAGAAAGAAAGAAAGAAAGAAAGAAAGAAAGAAAGAAAGAAAGAAAGAAAGAAGAAAGAAAGAAAGAAAGAAATAATAACAACAAATACTCTGGACTACCACTATCTGCCTGATCACTTTTATTCAAGCTACAGTAAGAATGACCCATCAGTCAATTGAATAAAGAGTAGGGGGTTTGGACAAAAATAGATCGATGTTATGAATGGTTGCTCCCTAGCTCTCCCTTTTTTGCTACTGTATTTCAGAAGCTATATGGCTCTGAAATGGCTGGCAACAGGTTCTTCACTTCAAAATATTTTGGGAACATTCAACATTACTTTAAAGTTACTGATAAAAAGTCTTGATTTCACTGACTCAAAAGATACTTGCTGGATATTTAGCATTTGTAGAACACTGTCGTAGGAGCAGTATGGTATGGCAGGAAGAATGCTTTGGCACGAGAGAATCCTAGGACTGAATCCTAGTGTTGTTTTCAACATAGTTTCCGTAAGGTGTAAAATGTTCTTGGCCTCAGTTTCCTCATCTTTGAAATGAGGTAATATATTTAAAGTGCGCTTAGTGTAGTTCTTTACTTGTGTCAGTTTCTCAGCAAAGAGTGGTTATTATCAAGTTTCCTGAGGCCTTTTTGTCTCCTTCATGACAACCACACCAGAATCAAATAAACATTCTGAAGAATAATATTTCTTTAAATTTATGTATGTATGTATGTATGTATTTGAAAGGCAGAGTGACAGAAAGAGAGAATGATCTTCCATCCATTGGTTCACTCTCCAAATGGCCTCAACAGCCAGGGCTAGCACAGGCTGAAGTCAGGAGCCAGGAACTCCAATATGAATGGCATGAACTCAAATATTTAGGCCATCTTTTTCTGCTTTCTAGGTACAGTAGCAGGGAGCTGGTTCAGAAGCAGAGCAGCTGGAACTCAAAGCAGCACTCAGGTACAGGATGCCAATCTTAAAAGTGGTGGTTTATATGGCCACAATATCGACCCCTGAAAAATAACCTTTCTAAACCTGGTTACTAAATTTCTGATTTAGTAACTGATCATACACTCTACCTTCAAAATGATCCCATTCTTATCCTGGCTGCTCCACTTCCAATCCAGCTCCCTGTCAGTGCTCCAATGTCCTTGGGCCCCTGCACCCTCATAAGAGACCCAGAGGAAGTTCCTTGCCCTGGCTTCAGATTGGTCCAGTCTGGCCATTGTGGCCATTTGGGGAGTGAACCAGCAGTTGGAGGATCTGTCTCTCTCTCTCTCTCTCTCTCTCTGCCTTTCAAATAAATAAATCGTTTTTAAAAAGAGAAAGGATCCCATTCTCCTTCATTCTTTGTCTGGTCTTCATAATCTAGCAGTAATATATTAGTACAGTATGGTCACAATCATAACAGCAAACAATCATTTAGCCCTTCTTATGCATTACCCAAAATACTTTATATATTTTAATATTCACAGCAATTGAACAAATGAAGTTCTATTATCATTCCTGTTTCCCAGATGAGGAAACTGAGTGTCAGAGTGGTTAAAGACTTAGCCAGAATCACAATTACTAAGGAAAGAGCCGGGATTCATACCTAGACAGGTCCCAGAACCCCAGTTTGTAAACTGCACCCCTTTCCACTCATTAGGAGTCTTACTAAGCTCCCCACCTCGTCACTGTCACACCCTGGGTTTCAATGTTTTCATCTTTAAAATGAGGATAGTTGGGGGGAGGCCTTTAGTGCAGCAGTTAAGACAGCATTTGGAATGCCCACATCCCATAACGAAGTACCTAGGCTCAAGTTCCAACTCTCCTACCAATTCCAGCTTCCTGATAATATACACTTTGGAAGGCAGTAGGTGATGGGTCTCTGCCAGTCCCATGGAACACTTGGATTGAGTTTTTGGCTCCTCACTTTGGCTCAGCCTCAACTCACCACTGGGCATTTGGGAAGTAAACCAGTGGATAGAAGGTCATTCTCTCTCCATGTGTGTCTCTCTGCCTTTCAAGTAAATAAAAATAAATCAAATAAAAAATTTAAGAATAGGGATAATTTAAGTTAAGCATCTAGCCATTACCTGTCACACTGGCACTCAAAAATGCTGTTTCTGTTCCCCAGAGTTCCACACTGTCAGAAGAAATCTGTGTTTGCTTCCTACAGTGTGGTAATGATGTGGCTTAAAGCAACATAAATTGGTTCTGGAGGCCAGAAGTCTGAAATCAACATGTTGGTAGGGCCGTGCTCCCTCTGAAGTCTCTACAGAGAATGTTTCCCCATCTCTTCAGCTGCTGGTAACTCACAGGCATTCCTGCGACTGGTATCTCTCTAACTCCAACCTCTGCCTCTGTCTTCACCTGGCCTCCTCTGTGTCTTTCTCTTCTTTCTTTCTTTTTTATAAGATTTATTTGTTTGTTTGAAAGGCAGAGTTGAGAGAGAAAAAGAGAGAAAGAGAAAGAGAAAGAGAAAGAGATAGAGATAGAGATAGAGATAGAGATAGAGATTGTCCATCGTTGGTTCACTCCCTAGATGGCCACAACAGCCAGGGCTGAGCCAGGCTGAAGCCAGAAGCTTCATCCAGATTACCACGTGGGTGGTAGGGGCCCAAGTACTTGGACCATCCTCCACTGGCTTCCCAGGTGCATCAGCAGGAATGCTGGATTACAAGTAGAGCAGCTGGGACTTGAACCAGAATCCTTAAGAGATGCCTGTGTCACAGGCAGTGGCTCACCCACTATGCCATAATGCCAGCCACTGTGTCTTTCTCTTCTAAGGATGGTTGTCATTGGATTTAGGACTAGCCTGGGTAATCCAGGATCCTTTCTTGTCAAGATGCTTGACTTAATTTATCAACAAAGATCCTTCTTCCTAATAAGATCACTGATTCCAGGACACAGATATATCTCTTTGAATGCCACCATCCAGTCTACTATAATATCTTAGTTCAAGTCTTTTTATATTTTGAGAGATTCCCTCAGGTAATCGTCCTGACAACAACCCTACATTTATTCAAAGAGGAAGTAAAATATTTCATCTCATCCAGTTTAGGCCTATAAAGTGCTCACAAAATCTGTAGGGGGAACATATTTTTTAAGTATGTCCAGTTACCATTAGGCTTCCCCACATTTACCTGAGAACCCACTAGGTAGTAGGAAACAGACGGCTGTTGCCAATTTAACAGAGCAAGCTTGAGCTCACCACCCCTCCACCTTGCTCTGGAGTCTTGCGGGCAGCCATGTATTTGAGAGCAGGGGAAGGAGAATGAAACCAGCTGATAGGTCTATATTATTCCCCTAGGAAAACGAGAAATCTGCATGGCTACATCATCAGCAAGACTTTCCTTGCTTTTGTTACTATATCATTTCAGTAATTCATCTCTAAATATAAGATTATACAATCCACTTCAAGTAATTTGACCTGCCTAAAAGCAGCGACATGACATGTTTTGGATGAATTCTATGAACTCTAGCCTTTCCCTTCTCACTCCCTCTCCCCATCCCTGAAACCACCTGACCTGGAACAAATCAGTGTAACCTATCAAGCAGGAAAATGTCCCTCGATCCAGTGATCGGCAGAGAAGGCACCTCCACAATACTGCTGACTTCCATGGCCCCTGGAGCCAGCCAAGCTCTCCACTCATTTTCTCAAAGCAGTAACAACTGAAATACAGAGGCAGGCCAGCTGAGGAGAGGGAAAGGAAGCATGCTGCGTTACTGCTGTCACAAAATCTCCTCGGTGAAAGTTTAACCTTGCTGATCACTACATAAGGAGCATTGAACCCATCACCCAAAGTTTTCCAGATGGCATAATAAGAAACAAAGACTAAACCAAAAGAAGCAGCAGGAGAGAGAAGGACAGGTACATAAGCAAACTCAAAAACAATTCTATAAGTATATTCGTTCAATATTACCAAAGGAAATTTCTAAGAAAATACAGTATTGGAAAATACTTTTGGAAAGGTCATGGTTGACCAGCTGCCTATACAAGCAGATTTGTCTTGGTAGAACTTTAGGAACAAGTTCTCAGGTGGTGTGCTTTTGACAAATCAGTATTTCAGCAATTCAACTTCTTCACCATCAAGTTGTTCCTCAGATAAAATATACTCATCAAACATAATGAGAAGTAGGGATGCGGTAAAGGTTTCATTTTTCATGGTGAGGCTTCTAAACCAGAGTCCTCAGAAGCACACAGCAAGCATCTCCTTTACGAAACCGGGTTTGTGTCATTGGGGGAAGAAAAGAAAGGACACAACTATCAAAAGCACAGAACACTGCCACTAAGAATGGGGTTGATAATGACTGTAGAAAACTCATGTTACCTGAACGATTTAGCTGACTTTGCACTGCCATTCCCTCCTAAGTGCTCTGAGTATTGGGTCTTACAAGCCTTTTATTTCAAACTTTTCCAAAGCAGATAAGCATATCGGTGGGGGTTAAAAAGTTCATAGGAAACATGTATTATGAAAACACTGGCCAGCGCCGTGGCTCAATAGGCTAATCCTCCGCCTTGCGGCGCCGGCACACTGGGTTCTAATCCCGGTCGGGGCACCGGATTCTGTCCTGGTTGCCCCTCTTCCAGGCCAGCTCTCTGCTGTGGCCTGGGAGGGCAGTGGAGGATGGCCCAGGTGCTTGGGCCCTGCACCCCATAGGAGAACAGGAGAAGTACCTGGCTCCTGCCTTTGGATCAGCGCCGGTGTGCTGGCCGCAGCGCACAGGCGGTGGCAGCCATTGGAGGGTAACCAACGGCAAAGGAAGATCTTTCTCTCTCTCTCTCTCTCTCACTGTCTAACTCTGCCTGTCAAAAAAAAAACAAACAAAACAAAAACACTACACATAGATTTCTAATTTTTGCACCAAAGTAGACTTGTTTTTTAGTTCCGTTTTCCATGAACTTTTCAAAGGAACCCTCATACCATAGAATTTATTATTCTTAAATAATCTTCTACAGAGGCAATTAGGCTACTAGATTTCACTGCTGCCAAAAAGAAACCTAAACACATCGACCCTCCTCCCAGAAGGTTCTGTGGGGTTCAGCAGTTCTGAGCTTTTCTCTTACATCCTGTAAACCAAGAAGAAGGAACCCCACTTGGGAGCTGTAAAGTTATTCCTTGAAAACATTTGGAGTTGTTTACTCAGCTTTGGGTGGCACATCCATTCGAGTTTTCACTTTTTATTTCTAAAAACTGCTTGGCAGCCTTTGACAATAACAATATCTTCAAAAGGAAAATAAACACCCAGAAGCTATACACTTTCATTTTTCATAGGTAATAGTTATTACTTTTTTGAAAAAATAATAAGGGGCTGGCGCTGTGGCATAGGAGGCTAAGCCTCCATCTGGAGCACTCACATCCCACATGGGCATTGGTTCTTGTCCCTGCCACTCCTTTTCCAATACAGCTCTTTGATTATGGCCTTGGAAAGCAGTGGAAGACGGCCCAAGTGCTTAGGACCCTGCACCCACATGGGAGACCGGGAAGAAGCACCTGGCTCCTGGCTTTGGATCAGCGCAGCTACGGCCGTTGCGGCCATTTGGGGAGCGATCCAGCGGATGGAAGACCTTTCTCTCTGTCTCTTCCTCTCTCTCTCTGTAACTCTCAAATAAACAAATATAATCTTTAAAAAAAAGAATATACTCATCCTAAGAAATGAAATTGTAGCTAAACCTTGACTCTGAAGCTTATCTTTCCATGCCAGCATTGACAGAAATACTGCTGTTTCTTACTTAGGAACTGAAGGACACCAGGGACAAGGCCAGACGTACTCGTGTACCCCCATCCCTCACACATTTCTCTTTCTGTTGGGGACATCCACCCACTGCTAATGTACTTGCCACTGATTTTACTTTCCAAATGCACCATCTTTTTGACAGCCATACAAATTTGAGATTTATCTAATCTGAATTTAGTATTCCCTAAATTATTATGAGAATTTTTGTTATACCAAAATCCCAAATTTTCCCATCCAAAAGTCATTAATTCAAAAATTCCTTTGTAGTCTGTCAGGATATGCCAAAAAAACAAGGACCACTTTGAAATCACTCAACACACAGTATGTTACACAATAGCGCCCCTTCACAGTTGGACTGGAAATACATGTTCTCTATTGTTTTGCCTTTGCTAGCACTCAAGGAAACTGGAGGTTACTGCTTGGGCAGTCATGACACACTCTACTGTTGTGTATAATACAAGCAGCACTATACCAATAGCAATTTGGCTAAAATGTCGGTGAAATCTTCTTCCTTTCAGTACATTATTTCAGTAGTTCACTTCTAAGTAGAAGATTTTAAATTTATTTAGAGTAACTTAGTCGCCTAATAGCAATAACATGCTTTGACTTAAAATTCTTTCTTCCTCTCTGGAGAGTCTGTAGAATTATTCAACTGACTCACAAATGTGTAGATAATGTTTTGTAACTGCCCCACAGTTATTTGATTTTCTTCCCCTTAAATAATCAAAAACTTTCAAGGAGATTTTTAAGCTCTGCCTAAAGACTTAGACACCAGACACTCACTCTTGGGTTGACTTCTGTATTAACTGTGCTGTAATATGATAAGCTGAGTGTCAAAGGAAGGCTGGCAAATATACTAAGATGGAAAGGGAATTCCCAGGAAGGTGGGAAGCAAGGATGGAGCTTTCTATGGAACACAGAAAACATTGGGATCACCCAGAGAAAATTTTGAGCAAGATATCTGGACACTGAGAAACCAGGAAATTTTACTGCTGTGCCTAATTCTTATATAGATACAATACAAAGTTGAGCCATTTATATAAATTAAAGCACATTCAAGTCTCTTATGCAATAAGGCATTATGGGCCTTTGTGAATCAAATTGTGGTAACATGAAGAAACAGCTTGTGATTAAGTCCCCAAACAAGAACCATCATGTAAGGTTGTGCAGTGCACAGCCCACATAATAATATATGATGACTCTGCTTGAGACACAGTAGAAAATTTGTTAAGAGATTGCAATGCGGGGCCAGCATTGTGGCATAGCAGGTTAAAGCCCTGGCCTGAAGCGCCAGCATCCCATATGGGCGCCGGTTCTAGTCCCAGCGCTCCTCCTCCGATCCAGCTCTCTGCTGTGGCCTGGGAAAGCAGAAGAGGGTCCAAGTCCTTAGGCCCCTGCACCCACGTAGGAGACCCAGAAGAAGCTCCTGGCTCCTGGCTTCAGATCGGCGCAGCTCTGGCCGTTGCAGCCACCTGGGGAGTGAACTAGCGGACCGAAGACCTCTCTCTCTGTCTCGACCTCTCTCTGTAACTCTTTCAAATAAATAAAATAAATATTTAAAAAAAGAG